AAAAGAAGCTGTTTTTGTTGCGATGAAACTTGAGTTTCAGGTTGACGCCATTCAGTAAAAGTCTGTCCTGAAAGAATTTGTCAGCGTGAATCAGTCCCTGGATCGATAATACGGCTCTCCTTCGACAGTTTGTATCTCGTTTTTAATCCCTCATTGAAATTTTCATCTGCGGTTGGATCTTCAGAGTCCATTTTTCCCACCATATCTTTGTTAAACAGGGAGGCTGTCAGCTGCGATGCCTTGGCCGGTTGTCCGTACGTGAGCAGCATAACAATGACCTTAATGACACCTAAAGGAATGCCGTAAACACCATGCATGGAAACATACTCATAAGTGCATACCCAAAGGGACACACGCCAATGTACACACTGTGGAAGGGGGCTTTGGGGGATGGGTAGGAACAAATAAGACCAGTAAAGACAAATCTAATTCTTGCCAATTCTTGCATGCATCATCTCAGATACATTAGTCTCTATTATTAGGTCAAGTGGCTTCCCTGCCCAGTGTAACAAGATCCAACAGGTCAACCATCCTGAAGCCAACTTCCTAGAAGTATGTGTTTGCCAGCCAGTGCAAGATCCAAGAATGGTACAAAGAAACCAGCTGCCATTGTCTCAATGTGGACAATGATTACCGTGTGCAACTATTGTGCACCAGACTTGCAACTGATGTACTATGCTGAAGAGCTTGGTAAACACGGACAACTAAAATCCTTAGTTAGGGCAACAATAGCCCTAACATTCTCAAATCCTCCAATTTCAATGATTTTACATACATCCCAAGGGGTTAGAGTTAAAGAAAAATTCTTCCTTACCTTTCAAAACGTTATCTCAACAAAAAACTACAAGTTTTTGCAACCACACTTGCTCATCTTACCTAGATATCTGTGGTGTGGTAAAGTTAAACTAGTTCAAAGTCTAAGGATAGTAACTTGAAGCTCCTGGTCTGATTGAACAGCCCTCATTAAAGTTGGCAATGGCGGTTAAGTCAATTTGAAAATTGGAGGGCCAGGATTGGATACTTGGCAATCACAGTTCAGATATAGGAAGAAAATCGTACTAGAGCTAATACTGATGGAAAACAAACAATGAATCATTTTACATTAAGAAATTTATAACCATTACAATGACTTGCTAGCCCTTACAAAAATGTTCCATGCAGATCCCATGTGTATGCCATGGGACTGGCAAAAAAAATAATGTTGGTTGAAGTGATCACCATGGGACATTTTGTGGATACCATGGGAACACCATGAGACTTTTATGATCAGCATGGGAACACCATGGGGCTTTTATGATCAGCATGGGAACACCATGCGGTTTTTAATAATCAGCACAGGAACAGCATGGGGTTTTTATGATCAGCACGGGAACACCATGGGGTTTTTATAATCAGCATGGGAACACCATGGGGTTTTTATGATCAGCATAGGAACACCATAAGGTTTTTATACTTTACATGTACATGGGAATACAATGTGATTTGTATGCGCACACCATGGAAACGCCACACAAACACTATTCAAATTTTTGCAATCATCAAGAGAACACTGGGATTTGCATTGATATGGCATCTACACAGGTACAATTAGAGGCTTTGTTGTATTGTAAACCACATTAGCTGCTGCCATTAAAATGCAGCATTGGCATGAACTACAGTACACAGTTTGGAATGGAATGTTGATTTGATGACTGCAACTTTGCCCATCACCATGAGATGCACAGGACACTCACCATGGCAGGCATGGGTAAATCACCATGGGACGCAAGGAACAATCGACATGGAACAATCACCATGGGGTGCAAGGGACAATCGACATGGGACAATCACCATGGGATGCATGGGACAATCACCATGGATGCATGGGACAATCACCATGGGACAAATGGGGCAACCACCATGGGACGCATGGGAAAATTACCATGGGATGTATGGGACAATCACCATGGGACAAAAGGGGCAACCACCATGGGATGCATGGGAAAATCACCATGGGATGCAAGGGACAATAGACATGGGAAAATCACCATGGGACAAATGGGAAAATCACCATGGGACAAATGGGACAATCACCATGGGACAAATGGGACAATCACCATGGGACAAATGGGGCAACCACCATGGAATGCATGGGAAAATCACCATGGGACACAAGGGTAAATCACCATGGGACCCATGGGTAAATCACCATTGGATGTGTGGGAAAATCACCATGGGATATGACAATTAAATCACTATGGGAATATTTTGGGAGATTACATGGGGTTCTTGAAAAACGCATGGGCAAAATCCCATGGGTAAAAATCCCATGCTACATGTACATGGTGGCCAATGCACCATGTAATCCCATGGGAAATTTTCCCATGGGATACCCTCATGGGACATTTTTGTAAGGGAGTGCAGGGGCGGCCATCTTGATATTGACCGCAATAAAACTTCTTGTTTTTTACAGGTCACTCTTCAATTTTAACATCACCAGTAAATTTCTGGACTCCGGAAACCCAATGGTAATTGTTGAAAGTATATGTGTATATTGCATTTTACGATGAAATGACAGTTTTAGTAATTTTCCTGTAACAGGGTGGCCATTTTGAAATTGACCCAAACGAAACTTATGCTTCTTTGCATAGGTCAGTGTGTAATTTTATCATCACCAGTGCATTTGTTGACCCTGAAAACCCTCCAGTACACACTGAAAGCAAAGGTGTGCGTTGCATATTAATAAAGTTATGACCATTATAATGACTTTCTAGTACAGGGGCGGCCATTTTGAAATTGACCCGAATGAAACTAATGGTTGTTTGAATAGGTCAGTATGTAACTTCATCATCACCAGTGAATTTGTTGACCCTGAAAACCCTATAGTAGACACAGAAACTAAATTTTATACATTGCATATTAAGTGAGTAATGATCATTTTAGTGATTTTCCAGTACCGGGGTGGCCATCTTGAAATAGCCCCCCAAAAAACCCACTTCCAGTGGTCAGAATTTGATAAACTTTCAGCCTGTCACTCATCACATCAAGTAGAGCTGAAATCTGTCGAAAAACCTTTTTGTTAGAAGGGGGTTTGGGTACTTTTTCATTTAAATGTACCCGTCTAACGGTAAAATATCTAGGAACAGAATGAAAGAGGGACAATCTTATTATTCATAAGGGTCAGAACAAATAAACAAGCAAAGTGATTGAGGAATAACACAAAACACACGTTAGTAAAGAAACAACTCCCAAAAATTTGGACCTGGTACAACGCCTTCCATAACATAATGGTGCTAAGAAAGACAGGGTGAACATAACCGATGACTTTGCGTGAGGGGGGGGAGAGTGAGTGGGGGTGCACTATTAGTGATCGAGAATTTAGTGAATGGAAGCAATGGACTAGGAAAGAATGCATAGGTATTGGTAATGTGCATAGGTAGCAGGCAGTAGACTTCCACATTATAACTACACATTATTGGTATTATCGTTAAGCAAACTTAATTGAATTCCGATTGGTCGATCCACGGCAACAAAGTGTGACATACAGATGTAACTGTATTGCATGGTTCACATCAAGCCAAATTTTAGTCAAGACAGCGCCCACGGCGATGATCCTAGCACACTGTACACACTTGAGCTCATTGTATTCTAAATCGTGTGAATAAAAATTCCATGTGAGTGGGGATTTTTCCCGTCAGTTTTCGCCCTTTGAGCTGGAAAAGCTACCTAAAAAATTGCTCTGACTGTGACAATATTAGGACCAAACTGAATAACAAAGATCATACCGAAATGAAAGAAGTCGGGTCTGCACTAGCTCTAGCGCTGTGCATGTACTGGCTGCACACAACGGACAAAGTAGCACTCATGTGAACTTCATAAATATGCATGTCGTGTGATGTCTAAGGGCTGTAGCTACTAGCTATGCATTTGTTGGCGCTGTATCGAAATAAATATGCAATACACTTGTTTTGATTTATGATTGGTGGTTGGGATGAAAGCGCTGGGGGGGTTGTAGTTTTGTGATTGCTTGCTCAAGGGCACAGTCGCGGCACATGTGGCAACAAATGAAAAAAGTCAATTTAAATTTACACAAGTTCAGTGTTTTTTTTTTAATTTACTGGAATTCTGATGCATGAACTAAATTTCTATAAAATAAGAAACACTTCACTGTAAAATCAGCTTGTTGTAATAGTTCTGGCTGAGGAATGGATTTCTTTCATGGTTACTGTTTATTTGTGAAAAAGTTCTCGCACAATTGGGAATTGCTTAAAACCGATGTAGTATTAGAACCGGCAAAAAAAGTGTCGTCGTCACTCCAGTTGATCCCGTGAGTTTAAAATTCTAAGCTTACATTTGGGAAAAAGTTTTGTGGTAGCTAAAGACACATGGTGGACTACTGGCCAGTTTCACTGAAATTTGACATTTTCCAGATGTACATGTAATCTGCCTGAACAACTTTCATGATCCAAAACCAAAAAAATGGCTGTGATAGTGATACATGATTGTATTTTGATATTTCAAGACGGTCATCTTGCCAACCAGGCACTGCATGTACTGTAAATGTACATGTACGTGATTTCATTTATTCAGTGCACTGCCATACAGTGTACATGTACATGTATGCACGCATATATACACGAAGCTCGAGCGATGGCCATGTGTGTGCAGTGGTTCACTACACGTTGTCGGTCACCTTGGCGATCTGCAGTCACATGCTCTGCCAAGATGAGGTGCAGGGTCAGGCTTATCGTGCATGGCACCGGCAATGCATGGTAACAACTGCAAAGTGTGTACTGAACAGCATGTCAGGTTTCTGATTGTGTGGGCGTGTGGGCTAAAATTCTGACATGTACGTGTACTGTACACATATATTCTCATGTGACTTTCGAACTGTGGAAAAGCTGATAATGTCAAAATAAACTATTTGTCCTGTTCTCTTTTCTTCAAGCACTTTTTCAATCTAATTTTACACCAGTGGCATGTAAAATAGGTTTGTTTAATGAGAGAAGCAAAAATATTACCAATTCCCGGTACAACTCTGCACATCCCCGGGCGGTGGTTGTATGCCTGCTTGTGGAAACCCAGGCTGTAACTAAATTGAAAGCACAAATCACACGCATTTGTTCTGGCTGAAAAACTGGAATACATGTAAAAACAGTATATACTATTTACTAGTTCATTCAGTTACATTTATCTTCAAGCAAGCTTGAATTCTCAATTTTGATTGGTCGATCCATGGAAACAAACACTGTGATATACATGTACCTCTCGGCAGATTCAACAACTTACCAATTTCTTAACCTAACCGCAACCTGAGATTTAAAACCAATTTTGACTTTTCATGAACTTTGAAACTCACACCGGGAATGGCATTTAAAATAAAATCAAACCATTCCTCATTGTAAAACCCCGGAGGAATGACGGCATTTCGGCGTTCTCCACCTTGCAAAAAATCTGTGGGCATTTCTCTCTTTTGCAGACGATGCATCACCGGAGCCTTTGAACCAGACCCGGTAACTAAAAGAGTAGACCTGGGTTCGGTTTGAGCAGCTCTAATGGTTCTCGTTCTTTCTTCATTGTCGTTGCCTAAAAAGCCTTCTTGAATAAATTCTAAAGCAATACGACAGGGTTCTTCGTAGGTGTCAATTTTTTCTCGGGCTAAAACCATTAAATAAATTAGTGCATTTTCTGCTCCGTCTGAATAAATATGACATAATACTAGCCTACAATCGCGGCAGACGAATTTAAAGTCTACTTCCATTCTGTTGGTGTGCAGACATGGGTTCGTGTCTTCTTCTTTGATCTTCACACGGGTGACATTCGGCTAAATAAAATGAATAAGTTTCGTTTGTCCATGGGTAAATATCCGTTTTAATTTGTCATCGTTGTTTATTAATACTTGTATATTTAAGGAATGCAAAAAAACCCAGCTACTCCTGGGAATAGCTGAGATTTAATTCTCCATTAATTCACGAGTACACAGTGCACATCGTGGCAATCGTCACATTTTTTACATTCGCGGCATAGGTGTATGCATCTAGAATCTGAACACCCTGTGCAATCACTTGCGTCTATCACGTTAACAGATTGCGTTGTATTTTTGCAGAAGTGGAAATTGACGTTTGCTTTTTGGTTTGACATCTCTATTTAATGAATATTATTTACTTAAGCCTGTTGCAAATTTATTTCATTTTTCCTCAAAGCTCCACGGCAGACTCAGTTTTCAGGGAATTCCCTTTTTTGTTTGGGTCACAAGGTCTGGACCGGGAAGTCCCTGTTTGAGACACACAAGTTCCGCAAGTAGAACTGGGGGTCAAAGGTCAGCTTGGGAAAAGGGAAGTCCCTGTTTTGGCCGGGAGTCACGAGTTCTGCGAGTGGAACTGGAGGTGAAAGGTTCTTTGTGTTCTTTTTGGCCCTGGTTTTTAAAGGGTGAAAACCCTCGATGAGGTATACAAGGGGTTTTTACAAAAATGAAAAGTGGCTTTAAAGACTAGGTGTTTTGGGCAGTTTTTGAAAAAGGTCAATGAGGTATAGGAGGGTTTTAGTCGATGAGGTCATCGAGGGTTTGATGAAAAGGGTGAAAGGGGAGTTGATCCAGAACTCTGCTACGCTACTACTGTACTGCACATTCTCAAAAGTTAATTTGAACAACGTTGGTATAATCGCATTTAACTGGGTTTTGGTGTGACTGTGAGTAACCCTGAAATTGTTAAAATCCTGAGCTGATCTTCAAGTAAGTTTAGGCCTAGTATTGGGTATTGATTATTACTATGTGACCGCAGCATCAGGATGGATATCCGAAAGTTTTTCTCTTCTGAACATGAGGTGTCTGCAAAAAGAAACCGCAGGATGACGATGGAGAATCAAAAGTACACAGAAAACTTCAGTATGAAAAACGATGTAAAAGGGAGTTCATACCGACATGGGCTAAGGAATTCCCATGGATTGAATATGATAAAACTAAGAACATAATGTTATGTAAAT